TAATAGACACGAAGAAAAGATCACGTTTCGACCTCAGATTTTCCTTCGTAAAGAGGTATATGGATCGTGGCATGTAAGCGTTTAAAGAAAATCATGGAGTAAAAGAATAGTATCAAAGAGTGGAATTTTTTTTTGCATAGCGGCGAAAAGACTCCAATTAAGCAACGAAAATCGCGCGTCGCTTTTGAGTCGCGGTGCGCGATCGGTCAACCGTCCCAACCCCGGGTTGGCCTATAAACCTTACTCGATAAAGGCACACTCTCTCTGCGGTCTCTCCCTCCCTTATGTTACAATGACTATGCTGGTAATGAGTAGTGCTCCGCTGACGACATACCCGCCTCTTCCCCTTCCATGCACTGCGTACATGAGGCCACTTTATCACTCCGGCTGCACTCCCTTCGATATACAAATGGTTGGTTCGGTGTGGTAGTACTGTTCTTTGTCTGATCTACTACTCAAGTCCCTTTTCGTAGCCTCCGTCTCAAATTCAAGCTTGGCTAACTAAACATTTATACACTCAAGTACCACATTAATACAACGATTATAAGGAACAATAACGATGCAACAACGATATATATGCATAAGACATCAATTTATTGGAATAATTGATCATCGAAAAAAGAGTTTTTCCTAAAGAAACTTTCATGTTAGGTGTCATTCAATGATATTTCAGAATCTTCTTGCTACTTTGAAAGGTCAACCGATTTTTGACGGCCAATTGAAATATCTGGCAAAAGTAAGAGATGACTTTTGTCTGTCGTATATCTTTTTTTCACATAAAAAAGTTATCTATTAACGCCATTAATAGAACTAAAAGTCGACAAGATGCCTTGGTAACGGGATGCGCTCACCTCTTTATATGTTTTACCCGTCAACCACGAAGGCTCTTGGATATGATTATGAATAAACCTGTCACCAGTTTTTATGTTTTATAACTGCCGTTGAATACTGGTCGTGCTAAATCTCTCTTAGAATCTGTTATTGTTCTGCTATAACATATGATTTTTGTACACCAATAGTCGACCACCTTCTTGAAGTAGTTCACAAGGCTGCTCCTAATCTACATTTTCGAAAAATGTTCGGAGACGAGGTTAAATAAATGATATTGTGTGTATAGCACAATCTTGGCGACTGCGCTTTTTGCTCTTCATTTTTGCTAATATAATATTTTTTTTGTTGCTAGTGCTTTTTATGGGAACGCCGTGGCCGAGTGATTGTGGTGTTCGTTACTGCGCGCGTGGGACTGAGCTCCACTTTCCAACTCTTTCCCGGCAGTCAACAACAACGCCTCATGGAACGCCACAGCTAGAATATTCTCGAGATTGCAAGAAAACTTACTCAGCCAGTACTCTACGACGTTCAGGAAGAAGACGAAGCAATGGAACAAATGCTAGAAATATTGGGATCCGCACAGTGGAAAAAAACACTGTGAAGACGGATCAATGAAGTGTCTAAAGTGCCTAAATGCTTTTTAGAGAGTAAGATCTATCCGCAAAAATGATGAGAGATTTCGATAACCACCGATTATGCAGAAATTTTGCAGAAATTCGGACTCGATCAAATGTCTGATGGACAATCTCCTATCCAGAGCTACGGAATGATTCAACGTATCCTTGGCGCCCTTCACAACGTCAAACCATCCGTCAATGATCAACACCTGACTTCACCAATGAAGGACAAGGTAAGGCGAGCAAACAGAACACATATAGTGAACTATTTAGTCCAGCACTTGTTGGCGCTCAATATTGAACGGATTACGAGAAACGATAACTAACAAATATTCATAGCGCTTTAGTGATGCGATAAGATCAACGATTATGTTTTACAAGAACTTAATATTCTTCAAGTTTGGCCAACTGTCTAGCGACTTTTTCACAACTGAAACATGTAGCTTGAACTATGCACTGTAAATTCCTTTGCTTAATTTCTCCCTTATATATGCTTTTGGCTTTTTGTATGTGATGCTTGATGTAAAGAGGACTCAGAGCTTGGCGCTAGAAATTTGTATATTCCAGAAATTCTTATCAAACTATCGTCCTCCTTGGTGTAGGTAACTCCAAATCGTCATCTACATTCACTAAACATGTGCGTATAGGTTATTTATGTACCAAAAATACTGGTGAATTTGACACAAACAGATAGGGAATAAAGTCCCTAAATGTACCTAGCATTATAAGAAACGTACTTTCTTGCTTCTAATCCGTGCTAGACTCCTCCGCACCTCATCCAGAGTAAGTGTTATGACATCAGAATTCTCATTTTGTTGACGTTTTCAGGGTGCTGATGGTAGGGTGTTACCTGAAGGGCTTTCGAGACTTGCGTCCTCCATACTTCCGTCTTCCCGGACAATTAACGGCGCTCTAACCAACAAAATTTCACAATTTATAGCGTAAGTTTCTTGATGACGATCTAGTGTAATCTTTTTTGAAGATAACTTGACTCTAAAAGCGAGTTTAATTGGTATCTGATTTGTCTTTGCTGACACAAAATTGCTGTTGAACATCTTCTATAGGTGTCTGCTCACTATTGGTCGTCAAGACGTGAGTGAGAACATTAGTGATCAGTCACATTCATAAAATGGAGCCTGAGTGACCAATTTTTGGCAGCTCTGGCAACTAGAATACTTATTTGCAACCTAACAATTTTTTCTTATAAAAGATGACAAAGAAGATGTTTTACAGACCACCACGAAATTTTGGTGATGACTCGAAACCGTTTTCGAGAAACAACATGGACTTTGTCATTCAAAACGCATACAATGCGTATGTAAGCCAAACAAGACCTCGAGTGTCTTAAAGTTTGTGAATATGTATTGTCAAAAAGTTATAGATTCAAGTGCAGCTGAGTGTTTTTAACCGCACTTTTTGCTTTTGTTTCCAATATCTAGTGATTTTTGTGAACATTTTGGATCTTAGTTTGTTGGGTTCACACGACCCATTCATTAGTAATATTTGTGATCTCCTTCCGCCCTTCATTTGTATATATACCCTTTTCTGACCTTGCAGAAAATATCTTATTGGTATGAGTTTGACGTCATTGTTTTCTGAAATATAAATAAAACTTTGGACATTATCGTTGCAAGTATATTACAAGATTTTCATACATCTGATAATTTTGAGTGTTTATGTCTTAACTGGCAAGATTACTCCCAGCAGGAGACAATTGTACTCTGATATTTCACATAACACGTTTTAAGCGTTTTCTGGTCTGGTAGGGCACTTAAACTTACACAATATTAGACGACCTCGTTTCGCCCTTGTACGCTCATCAGTAGCACGGTGCCTATCGGCTCAGCCGATCCCTTGGAAATCCATTCCTACTTATGAAGGAAACGGCGCCGAATAACAAATCACCGAAGTCAGATGATAAATCCTCCGACATTGTAGTGACCAACAGTCGACTGGTGGCTGGCAAGATGAATCATACCTCTGTGCTACTGAAGAGCTTACAGGAACGAAACGGTCTCGTGTAGCACTGTATAAGTGCTCTACCAAACCCCCAAAAAAAGCTCAATACATGTTATGTGACTATCAGATTATTATCGTCTTTGAACGAGCTCTCTAAAAACAGCCGAATGAAGAGGAAGGTAGATGTGTAATGTAATGTTTTTGCAATCTTGTGAACCACTAAAGTTTTGAATCGCTCATTGAGTTTTTGAGACTAGAAATACGTTCATAATTCACCTGTATCACCTGTCGTCCCGTTGGTCGTCGAGTGACTCAAGCGGGTACTAGCAACACTTCCATTTTTCCCTTTCGCGTGCAAGAGTATCCTAGTGGGTCCTCCTCACTCTAGGGATTCGCTGAGCATCATATATTTCTTCTATAGCTTTCGTGAGGAAATCGGATCAACGGGTCGGTTGTCTTCCTAACGAGCGCTTGATGTCTCGAGGAATCCTGTCTGTAAGGGCTCTCGTCCATCGGTTGTCGTTTAAGCGGATCACATGTCCAGTCCACCTTATTTTCGATATCCTAGCGTATAGAACGGCGTCCTGATCTTCGATCGTTGACGTAGGTCGGAACATTGAATCCTTTCTCTCATTTGCGAGATACGGGATACTCCTAGCATCGACCTTTCGACTGCGCGTTCGATAACGCCAAGTGAACTTCTATCCTGCTTACGTAGCGACCAGGTTTCTGCTGCATACGTTAGGTCAGGGATAATCGTCGAGTCGAAAAGGTGGGCACGGAGTCGAATGTTCTTTGCCCTCTTCACTACATCTTCGAGACCAATCTTTCCATAGAGTTATCGAAATCGGTCAACATTCGTTCCACTTGGCTGATGTTTGGTGTTATGAGGACGATATCGTCAGCAAAGCAAAGATGGTTTGATTGTCGGCCGTCAATTTTCACTCCGATATCGTCCTATTTTGATGTTCGCATGACATTTTGTAGGGTGGCAGTGAATAATTTTGGAGAAATTGTATCGTTTTGCCAAATCCCTCTTCTTACGTCAATGGTGATATTTTTGTAGAATGGAGATGTTTTGGTCGTGAATTCTTTATAAAGCTCACGAAGGATCATTATGTACCGAGTAGGGACGCCCTGGTTATCCAGAGCCTCTATAACCGCTTCTGTTTCCTCTGAATCAAAGGCTTTCTTCAGATCGATGAAAGTGAGGCAGAGTGGTTGTTTGTACTTCACGTGAAACTTCAATGAGTCTTGTAATCGTGTGGATGTGGTTTATGGTATCAAATTCTTTTCGGAACCCTGCTTGTTCGCATGGTTGTCCTTCGTCCAGTGTTCTGCCAATCCTATCCAGGATAACTCAAGTGAAGAGTTTATAGACAACGTACAGCAAGCAGATTGGGCGATGATTGCCTATGTCGTAAAGACTCCCTTTTTGAACAACAATACGGTCTTGCTGTTTTTTTATGATTACGTTCATAATTGAGATGAAATAGCACTACTACCAATCAGAAATGATTTTATTTGACCGCCACTTGCCGTGTTATGATGTTACATTATACCCAATAATGTGGAGTGCCGTGCAAAAACATTTGCGTCCGCCGGGATTTCAACCCAGATCTCAGCCTTTCCGGGAGGTATGCTAACCGTTGCACCACCGTCGCTCGTTCTGCTCAGCACTCGTTCAACGCTACAACGCTTTATCTGTCAACAGGCAACCGTCGACGGTCTAGCGGGGCAGCCACCATCGGCATTGAACCCACTTTTGTTGACGGATGTTGGGTATCAATAATCAATCGGATTTCATTTATTTGTCCGCCTCCCGCGATTGTATGTTCTTATAATATACCCAATAATGTAGAGTGCCGTGCAAAAACACGCGTCAGCCGGGATTCGAATCCAGATCTCATTTTTTCCGGGAGTGTATGCTACCCGTTGCACCACTGTCGCTCGTTTTGCACCGCCCTCTTTTTACGCTACAACACATACTATGCACTTCTTTCAGTCTTCTAGAGTCGATCGAATTTCCAATTCCTCATGTACTTTAGTTATCAGAAAATCATCGAGAGTTATCGGGAAGTTGGTATCGTTCACCATCTGTTACGTATACACATATCAGTACGTCGCAGTGGATCTGAGGTGCTCTGTAACACACACTATCATTGGTTCATCTGCGCTCCAGGCTCACTAAGTTTCCTAAGTTGGAGTTGACGAATCCTTGCCAGATGTCTGATAGGATAGCAGACTTGACTTACTGCACAGGTAGGCCACCAAAAGTCATCATATAAGTCAGATATCTTCAGTTACCTCTAGCGATGGTGAATAAAGTCAAGAGCATGGCGCATTTCTCTAGGACTGATCAGCTATAACAATATAAGGAGGGTGACCCCGGAGGCAAGTGAAAAAGGGAATCTTAATTTTGACCGACATTATAGGTTAGAGACGTTATGCACATCAGATCTTAAAAATCAAGTGGGCTGAGGACGTAATACTTTTCAGTGACAACCGGTAGACAAGAGTCGTTGATAGCTCCCGCACAGCAGAAATCACAGAGCCATAGAATAGATTTATTCATGAAATACCTCGATGATGAACATAATGTTCTTCAGTTTTCCAAAGCAAGCAGAATCTATTGGAAAACTAGACGCTAGAAAGTTTAACGGAGAATAACTTGAGATTATTCGAGTTGTTGCATCTAAGCGACCATTACCAAGAAAATATGGGACATTTGGTTGTCTATATATTTACGTTTATATCTGACCTTCCATTCCTCCGGGATTGGTGAATTTGTTCCAAACTTATTTGGGCGGATGAATCTCTTCGCATTGATCAATCTCTGAATCTCTGAATCACTATTCATTCCTCTTCATTTAGTATCGTTTAAGCTGATTATAGCTGGCCTTATCAATGACTTATGATCCAAGTAATCCACCAACTCGGTTTTAGTTTCGGTTTCCACTCCTGCTGTACATAGCTATCGGGAAACTAGCCGGAGTTATTGAGAAATCAGTGCTGTTTAGCATGCATAGAGCTTACAAAAGTCAGTATAGTGCACTGGTCAGAGGTGCTCTTTAACACGCACGAGATCATTAATTCGGTGTCGTGCCCACACTTGCCAAGCCAACCATCCATACCTCTGGAGTAGATAGACTGGTGCTGGACGAGCAACACAATGACTTGCTGCCTCGGGTAGGCCATCAAACGGTATTGTACAAGTCAGAAATCTTCATTCAGCCCTAGCGATGAATTATGTCAAATGCATAGCGCATTCTTTGAGAACTGGTCGGGCGCTTATCGCTTTATCTTTTATTTATGTCATTCCCAATCACAATGAATTATAACAAAGTAAGGAGGGTGTATCTCGTAGACAAGGGACACTAATGATCTTGACTTCGACTTACGTCTTAGATCGGAGGCATCGTGCACATCAGATCTTGAAAATCAAGTGGGCTGAGGGCGCAATACCTTTCAATGATAACCGATAGACAAGCGTCGTCGATCAGTTCCCATACAGCAGAAACCACAGAGGCAGAGGAGAGAGTTCTTCATAAATAAATATGATGTCTTTGGATCTATTAAAGTGAGGAGAATCCATTAGAGAAGCTCGACGTTACAGAGTTGAACGAGAAATATACTCGAGTTTGTCCAAGTTTTTGCAGCTAATTGACCGTTAGTAAGAAGATATGACGCATTTGATGCTCATAAGAGGATAAAGCTCTCGGCATGATTAATCTTTGAAGAATGCACTATGCACTAGTTTTCATTTAGCAAGATTTGAGGTTGTATATCTTTAACTGGTTTTCACAATGACTCACGGTGATCAGCTGATCCGTCAAAAGCGCTGCCATCCTTTCAGACAAGTCGGGTACTAACTTATACCGATACTGCAAATATGAAAACCATGATGAGCTTTAACGCGGGATCGTATTATCGACCACGTGTGTGTCGCACAGCACCTCTAATCACTACGCCACATGCATTCATTTATATGCATGCACGCACATGGTATCGCTTTGCAGAAGCCCTCCTATGTTGATAGTAATATCGTTGAAGATCAAACGTACTTCCTTTTATTTAACCGCTTCTAGCGGTGTTATGATGTATAAAATCGAAACCCATTGATGTAGAGTGATGTGCAAAACTTTCGCGTCAGGCTGGCGGCTGATAGAAAGATGCGTTGTAACGTAGAAAAAGCGATGTGCAAAATAGGCGTCAGTAGTGTAACGGATAGAGCACGCATTCCCGGCGGAAAGAGGGAGGTGCGGGTTCTAGTCCCGCCTGACGCGAAAATTTTGCACATCACTCTACATCATTGAGTAATATCGCTAGAGAATGGCGATATTTTGATTATGAAGTTTTCATATAGCTGCCGAAGAATTTATGCGCATTGAGTCCCCATGACCGTTCAGAAATACAAGTGATATCACAAAAGGTTTTGCCGCGAAATAAATAATCATAGAATCTTCTGGTTCTCACATACGACTCATATTTTGTGCAACGCGACAACTCATTCCATATGCTGTAAAATAAGAAGAAACTATAAATCCTAGGATTACATTCTGAGAGCGGCGTGAAATACAGTACCTTGGCAGAGAAAAAAACAAAGCTACGAAAATAATCAATCGGATTTCATTTATATGACCGCCTCTCGCAGTGGTATGTTCTTATAATATACCCAATAATGTAGAGTGCTGCGCAAAAACATTCGCGTCAGCCGAGATTCGAACCCACATCCCTCTTTCAGGGAGCGTATGCTAACCATTGCACCACCGACGGTCGTTTTGCACAGCCCTCTTTTTACGCTACAACGCTTTATCTGTTAACACCCAACCGTCGACGGTCTGGCAAGGCAGCCGCTATCGGCAGTGAACCCACTTGAGTTGACAGATATTAGGTATCAATAATCAGTCGTACTTCATTTATTTGACCGCCTCTCGCCGTGGTATGTTTTTATAATATACTCAATAATGTAGAGTGCTGCGCAAAAACATTTGCGTCACCGGGATTCGAACCCAGAAGCCCCCCCGGGAGCGTATGCTCACGTTGCACCACCAACGTCGTTTTGCACAGCAAAGATCTGGGTTCGAATCCCGGCTGCTGCGAAAATAAGCAAGTGTCACAGAGCTGGTGGTATTCCAGGCTGGACACCACCTCTTCTCAGCACTAAACTTTCCAGAATGTCTGATATAAACCATTACAATCTCATAGTTTCCTTCCTTTCATAGGATAAATACAAGCTCTGTTTGTGTTTCAGAATTTCCCAGGACCATTAGCTCTACATGGACAAATTTCGCCCCTTTTCTCATATCACAGTGGCGCAGCACCACTGCTCGACTTCATGTATAATCCGCTTTTTATGAGAACTTTCTTTGATAACATGATGGCATGTTTGAGCCCGTTGAATGGCCTATTGTACGGCACTTATGCAATGCTGGACAGGAGTCTGCTTCGCCCTTCCGGACTCCTCAATAGCCCGGTGCCGCTCGGTTCAGCCGACCCTTGGGGATATACTCCTATATAAAGGAATCGACGCCGAATATTAGGTCACCGTAGGTCAGGTGGTGAAATCCCCCAACATTACAGTTGCCACAGTCGACTGCTTGCCATCAGTAGAATGAATCATACCCTACTCTCGATCGTTTATAGAGACCGCGCTAAAAGCAATCATAATCTGATAGCATTCTGAACATGTTTGAGCCTGTTTGAGGCGGCTGTCTAGCACTCTATAAGTGCCCATATCAGACCTCATAACAGGCCTAAACATGTCATCATGTTGTCAGAGTATCATTGCTTCGATAGAGGTCTATATAAAGAGTTGAAAGTAGGATATGATTGATTCTGCAACTTTTTCGTTTGCTGATTTCGCGTTCATGCGTGATTTTGTCGATCATTTGCTGGCAGTGTTCCACTTTCCTAATACTTTTTGAGACTAATTGTAACCGGTCAGAATTCTTTTTATTTGACCGCAACTTGCGGTGGTATGATGTTACAGTATACCCAATAATGTGGAGTGCTGTGCAGAAACTTTTGCGTCAGCCGGGATTCGAACCCACATCTCACTCTTTCCGGGAGCGTATGCTAACCATTGCACCACCGACGCTCGTTTTGCACAGCACTCTTTTAACCTTACCTTATACTTGTTGTAACTGTGTTGATTTTGAGTGAACAATACCGAGATCATACCACATTTGAAAGCGGTTGAATAAAGAGAATTGTATCCGATCAATCGACCACTTATACCAACAACATTGAACACTTTTTCGGCACCTTTATTGATCCGTCATCACAGTTTTTTTTTCAATATGCGGATCTCAGTGCTTCTGGCATTCCATTTCCTTTCTCGTATTCTTCATGAACGTCGTAGGATAATGGTTATGCGCGTCTCCTTGCATTCTCGGGAATAGCCTAACTGTGGCATCCTATGGGACGTTCATTGTTCACTGCCAGAGAATGCTGGAGTGGGGTTCGGTCCCATGTGCTCCCGGACGAGCATCACAACCACTCAGCCACGGCGCCCCACCTCCCCCCTACCCCTGCAGATAAACCAAGTAAAATAAAATATCTAAATTTGTTTCTTATTTTATTTTACTGGTCATTTCCACAGTGCTTTTCACAGTGCGATCCCGTTACTTCTCGCAGTAAATTCGTATAGTCGTCTTGTTCC